GTTTGGCCTCATCATTATCAGCATATTTGACCATCACCGGAGGCCCNTTAAAGTGTTCTGAATTACCATGCAACTTCTGAAGGGCATTCTTGGAGCAATCTAGGCAGTCATACTCGGCGTATATAACCCATACGGGATTGCCGTAATGGTCTGCCCGCATTGCGCAGTAAGTCAGGGTGCCAAACGCTGACAAAAACCTCTCCACCTGCGCCCGTGGGACTGTGATAGGAACGTTGCGAATGTATAGAGCATTGGAGGGGGAGACAGCAGCTTTCCCAGTGTGCTGTGAGGGGTAAATTACCAAATTAAAGTTGTGACGGCATGCCTTGGTGCTCTTTCGGTTAAGATTTTTGTATGCCCTCCTTCCCTCCTCCTCGGTGTTAAAGAGGACAAAACCAAAACCTTTACTTTTCCCCGTGGAGGCATCCAGCATCACCTTGGCACTGATGGGATTGTACTCTGCAAAGATTTGCTCCAGCTCCGCGTCATTCAGGTTTCAGAAGAGTTTCCTTACCAAAAGTTTCTGAAAGCGTATATTAGTGTACCTTGAGGCACTTCTTCACGGTGAAAGTCAAATGGGCTTCTTCGTTTAATGCCAGCATTCCTTTTTCTTTGGCAAGACGTATTATAATGGACAGAGAGACGTAAAAGTGTGCAGTTATGAGAGACATTGTCAAAAAAGGTAAACTGCAGTACAGGCCTGCTTTGTCAAATGCAGAATCCAATATTCCATGACGTAGTAATAACTACTATTATTGTCGTTTGTATAAAAAGCAGGGTCGGACAAAGACACACTGTTGAATTACTCGGATAAGCCCTGTTTTTAAGAGCCTGCGTAAGAAATGATTGTGATTAACACAATATATTTTAAACCGACATCCGCATAAACGCAGCTATTTCTTACGTAGGCTCTTACAAACAAAAAAAAATATTAAGTAGGCTCACGTATTGATAGTTGCGCATAATGTGTGCGGAACTCGGTATAGGAGAAACACACACCTATGTATATTAAACCCCTCTGCGTTGGAGGATTGAAAACTCGTGCGCACTTAATACGTGGAGGGGGGCGTTACCGTCGTCAACGCCAGTCAGGCCCCTGCCGTGTTGTGTGTAAGCGCAGTGTTTCACTTTTCCAACGTCCAATGCAATGGGATCGTTTGGTCACGCAGTGGTGAACCAAATCACGTCGCAGCAGCGAGCGGTACCAAACCCAAAGCTGCTGCAAGCACCACTACTACGCGGGTGTACCCCCATTTACCAGCGTCACCAGGCTCCAGAGAACATGGGAGAAAACGGCATGCTAGTATCTGTTAGCGCTCAGACGCAGTGCCAGACTTCTCACTAGTCAAGCTAGCAAGGGCTCAACTCTTGCACCTGCATATTTGTAGCAACTCTCTTTTGCTCGTTTGAGGCTTCCCAAGTAAGAAGATTTTCTCTTGTCATTGTGTGCACATTTTTAAGTAAAAAAAAAAAAACGGCCTATCGAAGAGAAAAAAAAAAATAATCTCAAACAACCTCAAATACGGTACGCAACATCGTTTGGGATGTTGTCTAATTGATCCGCCAAACGACCCATGGGGAATTAGGAATATGACCATGATACTCTCCCTCAGCTCGTGGATGCACACAAACTTTACCTCGTAATTGATTGAGTCTGCGAAAGCTTTGCTTTTTCCCACAAAAAAGCACTAAACCCAGACGCCGCCATGAGGTGGCCCATGACATCCCCAGTGATTGCTTATTACTATTATCTTATGCCTGCTTGCTGAAGCAGAACACAGCTAGTAAACAGTTGACGGAGTGAATATCAAACTAGGTGCACGTGTGCATGTGTGTGCGCGCCTTCCTGTGCCTGCAGTACGGCCTGACGTTGCAGCTATCTCCAGAGGATAAAAAAAAACAAGACAAAGAACGCAAACACATAAACAAGGGCGCTGAGAGCAGTTGGCTTAACAAAAGACGCAGCACATATTAATCTTCACAACAAAATTGGAAAAACAACAACGACACAGCAAAGAACAGAAAGAAGGATGAACACATACCCAAAATATTTCTCCTTCTACGTAGATAAAAAAGAATACAACACATGATGATGTCTTATGTTAAAGCTTCGGGCTTTTCCTTTTTTTCCCTTTTCGTCTCTTCGCCCCCTACATTGTTAACAATGTATTCGTGTATACATGAGTATACACCTCCATATTATATATATATAATACACATATATATATAATATGTTTTTCTCGCCGTAGTATAAAAACATTCATATATTCTTTTGGATTTTAAACTCCTTGTTAGTTTGCCACACCTCAATGTCTCAGTCGCCGCCACACCTGTGACAGCTGTTCTCGATGTACGCTTGTCCCAAGTCCCCGGTCTCTCACACAGTCACCAGCCATCTCCTCCTCCTCGTCCCCACCGGCATGAACTCCAACATCCACCCCGTTCCTCCAATACTTAAAAAAAGACGGTTACACCAAAAATCAGAAAAACGAGTAAACACTGAAACAACGACGCAGAGATAAATCAAAGCGGCATTAAGCGCACTGATCATGCACTATTCCCATCTTCTTCCTTTTTATTGTTTTCCTGTGAAAAATGTTTTTCTTTTTTTTCTTTGAAAATTTTTTCTGATGGAATAAAGAATTTCACCCGTAGTATGTCTTTTGTGTTGGGTTTTTGATAAATACGTTTTGATATGCATACATATGCTACCATAATCTACTTTGTATGTGGGCACCCGCTGGCCAGAGGGCAAAGTTGCGGAGCGAGACGTTGCACGGCACACACACTAACAGGGAGAAGACAAAACTCGTGCGGTAAAAGCACCCCCCATTTTCTGCGCAACTTCCCCGTCACCGACTCACTCTTCACTCCCCCTTTCCTGCTGCCAGTGATTTTAAAGAAAAAAAAATGTAAAATACACACAAAAATTGTGATTATGATTAATAAATAGGTCGTTCCCTATCGCTTCATTTTTATGTTCTGAATCCTTTTGTTGATCCGCCTCTTTCTTCTTTTTGTTGTCGGTTTCTCTGCCACATTGTTTCACTCCGCTGTGACGAAGATTGTTCCCCGCCTGCTTCAGAGCGGCTGACAGAATAGACGCAAAATCAAATGCTTTTCTCCACCATCTTCAAATGCGAATAGTAAGACACAGGCAGATAGAGTTTCAGACAAATACATACCTGATATATAAACACATACATACAGTACGGATATGCGAGCGTGCACCTAACAGCCCACTGCGTCCGTTGCCTTGCCTCACACGCCCCTCAAGAGCAGAACGGCAAGATGTGGGATATAACAGGGTAAATATGGAATATCAAAAAAACAAAAAAAAACAAAACAAAACGGAAAACAAACAAACACGCGCACACACACATATATACATGCCAATCTAAGGAAGATATATAAAAAAGGAAAAAAAACGCAAAGGAAAAAAAAGAAGCGCAAAGAAAAAACAAAAAAACAAAACAAAAACAAAAAAACAAAACAAAATCAAAGAAAACTTACAAAAAAAAAAAAAAAGTATTAAATAAAAATTTGGGAAAACAATTGATAGAATGCTAATTGCATTTTTTTGGTAGCTTCTTTGACCTAGCTGTATTTTTATGCTTCCGTATATCTTCCTTGTAAAAACATATGTTGTTTCTTTTTCATATAAATATAGAAGTATAAATGTCCTCCGAAAAATATAAAAACAAATGTACTGAATCCTCAACAAAAGAAACAAAGATATATAGATATATATTATATATACGCATACACATGTACACGTGTATGCGTAAGAAGAAAAAAGGAATAAACATGTTTTTCTTCTTTTCCACCCCTCCTTCGCGTTGCTGCCTTTTTCTATACAGGCAACACTTGTTCAGTTCATCGTCGTTTAGCATCTTTTTTTTCCTTTTGTATCGTCCCCCCTCGTTGTGGCAAAAACAAAAAAAAACACACACACACAACAAAACAACAGCAAAAACAAAAAAAAAGCGACACGAATGGCGTTTTCTCACATGTATGGAACTGCGGAACCATGCATCCACATACAGCTGCCCTTGCCCACATATGGATATGTCGTCACATATACAACGTAACAGAAAAAAGTCGCCTCTTGTGCGTTTTTTCCCGTTCCGCCTAGCCCGTCGTTTTTATTTTATTTTTTTAAGGCGGCCCTCTGACCACAAAGCAAATCCTCTCCTTTTCTCCTCATTTACAATGTCTTTCCACATATTAAGTCTCCTTCAGTATGCCGTTTATTATGTATTGTTTTTCCTTGCGTTTATTTGATTGGGGTTATTTATTTTTACTCATCATCTCTTCTGTTGGGTTCCCGCTGCCTTCTGTTCTTGTCCCTAACTCTCGCTTCTTTCCTCTCTTGTTTTATTGGCGGTTATCACTGCTCTCATTCCGTCCCGCTCACAGACAAACATGTACACATGTATACATATGTCTGTGCGTGCGCGCCTGCGTACAGCCTGTCCGTGCCTCAGGCATGTGTAAGTGTAAGGTGGTGTGCAGGAGGAAGCGTAATGGCAGGCGCAACATCGTCTCCCACCATCAGCGCCATCACCACCCGCAGCAGCGGCCGCAGCCGCGGATCCAGATATCCACACGAGAGCACAGCAACACAGAGCTCAGCCAGGGAGGAAAAAGGTGAAGCACATATTTGTGGCAAGTCAATAAATACAGGCCAAAAACAAAAACAAAATCAGGAAAAAAGGAACCCCGAACACACTCACACACACTCAAAGCCAAGAGGCTCCTTTCCAGAAAAAAAAAAAGCAAATAACTGTATTGCCTCTTTTCTCTTTCTTCCTCCTTTTCTACCTCTTTTCTTGTCTCCTGCGCTCACACACATTTATACCTTATATGCACGTCAATATTGTCCATGTCTGGATCTTTCTGGCATGTGGTGAAGCGACAAGCCAACAAAAAAAAAGAACAACAAGCACCCACAAGCAATAACGACAAAAAAAAAAGAAAAAAAACACACTTCAGAAACAAATAACTGAGCATACAAAGAAAAAAAAAAAGAAATAGACTGAGAGAGCAAAAAGGTATTACTTGCGGAGTGACACGAAAACCAAGGAAAACAACAAGCGAAGCAGCAAGAAGGACCTGTCAAACACCGAAAGTGACCTTCAAATTCATTGCACGCCTCCTCACGACCCCCGTCAACAGAATATAACGCACCTTTTCAAGAAAACTGAACAACTGTGAAGGGTTGCGGCATCGGTGGCGGTGAAGTGTGCATCATTTCCACCGAAGACAACGAGTAGGCGGGACTTGGAGCAGGCACAAAGTCCGATGGACGCAAATTGACCGCATTAGGGGCAAGCACCAACTGCTGTCCATTTTCCAACATAATAAAAACCGGTTGAGGATCCTTATTACTGCTTGAACAACGCATCACCGACTGTCTCGAGGGAGCCAGCT